AATATTAAATTAAAAATATGGCAAACACATCGAATATGAAACAAATAACTATTGAAATCGGACTGCAATACTCTACACAATTTAATGATAACTACCTTATTAACAATAACGTTGTCGAATGTAAATGAACAACTTTTACTCTCGCAACGATACTCTCTAACAATGTTCATAATAGTATTTTATATGTTGTTAGCGATGTGAGGGAACTCAATAATTTTAAAAGCAATAATTTTTTTATACATACATCAATGTGGGTATATGTTGTGTGCATTTGTAGTCATATAACCTCTTCTATTAATCCCTTCCTATATATTCGAAGTTGAAGATATAACACCCTCATATTTTTCTAAATCAACAATCAATAGTTTCTTTGTATGAAGGAAATATTCTATTGTAACGAAGAGTGTTTGGACTTACCCCAACGAACTTTGGTTGAAATTATTCTTTCACGTAGGAGACAAAACGTTGGTTGTCTGCAATTGCTAGAGACAACTTAGCAGTGGCAACGAACTTCACCATTCCCGTTCGAACTTTCTCATTCAAATACATTCACGTAGAAAGTGATGTAGTAGTAGAACCGGTGTCTGGACTACCAAATTGTAGTTGCGTTTAACCAGCAGGAAGAAGCTTATGTTTGGCGGCACATGCTTTGTAGTGATGGTTGAGGTGGGTGGTTCCAATACTTTTTTGTCATGCCAATCGTTGTTGACAGTGTTTACATACTGTTTTAGATTTTGGAACTCCATCAATCACACAACCTACTTGAATCAATTTAAAATGCTCTCAACATTTTGTCTGCTTCCTATTTCTTTTCCCTCTTGTATCGGGAATATCTAATTCAGGTTCACCCTCCCGTTTCGCCTCGAAAACATCAATGTCATCCAAATCAATTGGATTACTACTTCCATTAGTATTGAAATCCGAAATATTTTCTTGAATAAGTACTTTATTTAGACCGACGAATTCATTTTGAAATTGACTTTGCGGCGTGATAGGTGATTCGCCTCCGATACCAAACAAGCCTTCAACAATTGAGAGTGGATCCATTTGTGAATTGATATAAAATGTATAGTAAGTAACAAATCAAGAATAAAACAAAGTTTACGTGTAAGATTGTAATTGAAAATTTGTAGTGTGATAATTGATTGAATAATTGAAATTGAATGTGGAAGTAGAATTGAGAAATAAATGTAAATTATGTAGTAGTCTAGAAAACAAA